CAGTCAGTCAATGGCAGAGTTCAGTTTGGGCTGATGAGTGGCCAGGAAAAGCCAGGACATCTGACCCAATAGTAATAAAAGTCCATCCAGGCACCAAAACTCCAAACTTAAAGCAATAACCTATAAAGAGACATGTGAAGGAAGTTAAATCTGATAGTTACCTTTCTTAAATACCAATTAATCCAACCTTGTCAGTGCTTATATCATACTCCAGTCTGGTTGGTACACAGATTTGAGACCTGGGATTATCATTTTGTACAGAATTTGAGAATCATTAACCAAATTGAGGATGATTTCCCACAAGATTGAAGAATGTACAAAGAGAGATGGGGGGCATTGAAACATAAAACATCAACCAATTTAACCTTGTTTTGCTTCCTTAAAACAGGTTGTTGGTTAATGATACCTTGAGTTATTTTTAGAGACAGCACCAGGCATGTACAAAAAGGAGCCTGTTTCCAGGATGATCCCTGAACCAAGAGGGTTCAGTCTGTGGAACTCTCAGAATAGGAATTTTGCCATGGAGAACTGTATGAAGTCCTTCAATATGGAAAATCTGGCTTCTAGCAGCATGAATAGCTTACATGAACTAATTCAAGACTAGCCAATTAGCTTCCAAGTTTGCAGTTCCCCTAAACCCTTTAATTTTACCTCAAACCCTGGATTGAGGAGACAGATTTGAGAGCCCTGCCTCGTGTCTTCTTGCCACTCCACCTTGGAATAAAATTTTTCTCTCAAAAGCCCATTCCATAGTATTGGCTTCTATGTGCATCAGGCAGCGAGCCCTTGCTGGGGAACACTCGTGACTGATAGGCCTGGAATTAGATTCTTCTCTGAATTCCTCTAGATTCCACACTGTTAGACTCCTCTTGACCTAAAGCAGAGCTTGTGTTCCTTAACACTCAAATGTATCTTGGGATAAAAGTAAGGACTCTGGATATATTCCAATGCACTTCTTTAGGCACAAAGCCTTGAAGGCTACCTCAGGAAATGAGAGCAGTGAGGAGGAGAAACAGATGATAATGACAATAAGATCGTCTCTCTGTGCAGTGTCAGATAACCTCAATCATAATAGCACAAAGCCATCTTAGACGGCTCCTCTCCTTTAGAAGTGTGCGCATATCTCAGATATCGTGGGTTGGGTTCTAGATCACTGCAATAAAGTGAATATTGCCATAAATTAAATCACAGGAATTTGGGGGATTCCCGTGCTTATAAATGTTCTTAATCCTGTTGTATACACTTACTAGAAAATCTCTAAAAAATGTACATAGCCTAATTAACATATATAAGACAGTTACAGTAGTAACAAATAAAACTGATCAGAGCGCCATAAGAAATAAAATAAGGAAGGAATTTAATATTTAAAGAATTAACAATATGTGAAACAGGGACCCCACGTAAACACTCGGTTTTGGAAAAACAGTGCCATAGATATGTTCAATGCAGGGTCATGTAAACTTAAAGTTTGTAATGAAGCATGATTAAGTGAAGTACAATGTTTTAAAGGTATGCATGTAAATCAATTAAAACAAGTCACAAAAGAGACTGACTATGGCTTTTGAAAAGGATGGGTCAGCATTTTTCTCTGGGAGCACACCCAATCCTGCCCCCTGCCTTCTGTGTTATTTTCCCCATCTCAGGTCCAGTCTGGGACATGAAACTGTAAGGTTTGCATTAGGAACACTGCTCAAGATTTTACAGGCATGTGGTTTTTCCCAGGAATCGTTTAATCCAAGAGGTAGACAAAATGAGGGCCCCCATGAGTGAGGACTGGAGAGAGAAACAACCCTAAAATACAGGTCATTCAGAGGCCTGCCCAAACTTGCTCTTGGACTTAGAGTGCCCAGAGTGGACATTGTCTCTTATAAGCCTTGTAGTTCTCTGTGAGGTCAAAGTCTCCGGCTAAGAAGAATGGCCTCAGTTCAGTGGAGGGAGAATCTCAGGTTGGAGGGTCAGGTCCCAGGACTGTGCAGGATCATGGTGAGGTCACTTACTGGATAGAGAAGTATCAGTAGACCCACAAATGAGGAGACTTTACAGACCCCTGCCCCATTCTTAACCCCAGAGGCTCCAGGGAGAGTTACAGGGGTGAGAAGCCTCTTCATTTTTGTCTGGTCTCAGGGAGAGAAGGTCTTGTCTGTCAGGATCAAACCCCAGTTCTGCATAGGTGGGCGTCTTGGCCATCACCAGAGTGAAGGTGAGGACCATCAGTGCTAATGAGAGGGTCTGTCCCCCAAGGACGGAGTCTGACAGAGTGGCGCCCCTCATGTCAGGGAGAGATGCTCAGAGCAGTGCCCTGACACCCCACTAGGGACTCCAGGAGGTGAGGGCTTTGGGGGCAGGAGGACTCAAGTCCATAGAGCAAGGGTTCCCGGGCTCAGATAAATGGTACGGGGAGGACCCTAAAGGATGACCCACGGACAGCTGAACACTGAACGATGGGGTCCCCACAGAGCCCCGTCCCTGGAATCATCCCTCAGAGATCCCACACAGGGCAGCCTTAGCTGCAAATGGCTCCCCCAACAATCCGTGCTGGTGACGGGGAGCTCTGACTGCTGTTCAGGGTGTTCATTTGGACGAGAGTAGATTCCCAGGACTGACCTGAAGGCATGGTGAGGACCTGAATGTGGTCTAAAGGGACCATTCACCCTCCTGCAACAAAGATAACCCCACAAAGTCTCGCCTCTGTGGTCGGCAGGGGACGGTTCCTACAACACTGTTAGGCTTACTTCTTTGGTAAATCTTGATCTAAGAGATTTTTTAAGATCTAAGAGATTTCTTCATTCCGTAAATGAAGGAAACCTAGGCCCTAACTCCAGTCACAGGGAGAACCCCAAGTGCTAATGGGTAACTGGGTAGTTAAGATGGTGACACAAAGTGGTACTGATGTGCTCAACTCCGGGACTTCTCCCCTTCCGAACTCTAGGAGGTGAGGCTTTGTTTGGAGGCTTGTGGACACAGTTTAGGTAAAGGAGGAGTGTCAGGTCTGATGAAGAAGGGGACTCCAAATGAGGACCATAGAAACACACACCCTCACCGTGCCCCTCGGCCTTCACACACCTCCCTTGCTATCAGCTATCTGAGACCCTGAGCATCATGGCCAGATATGAGTCATCCTCACTCCTGATCTACAGTTTCTAGGAAGTAAGGACTTAAGTTTGAGGGCCTGGCCTCTGGCCGGCGGAGGGTGGATTCCCAGCATTGGGCCAGAGTCGAGGTGAAGACTTAGCTGGGACTGCGGCAGGGGCCACTCAGCCCATAACAAAGAGGGCCGCACCAAGTCTCACTGCTGCTGTAAGCCCTGGGAAGCCCTGACAGAGCCATCAAACTGAGTTCTGCCCAGGAAGTCTCAGGGATGGGATGGCTTTGGTCAGGAGTAGCCCCTGCTTGCAGATGGAGGATACCTCTGTCCTAACTGCAGTGAAGTGAGTGCCCTAAGTACTGATTGGGGGCCCCTCCCCATTTAGGGGTGGTATCACAAAGCAGAGTGCCTACATATCTGGGAGCCTCCAGTGAAGGGTAGTCACATATGTAGTACCCTGACTTTGCCCCTCCAGGGACTCGGGGAATTGAGGACTTTGCTCTGAGGCTGAACAACCCAGGTTATTGGTGAGAGGAGTCCTGAGTTCTACCCAGACCTGAGTGAGGACTAAGGTGAACACCAGCTCTAAACTTAAGTTCTCATAAATTTTGGCCCTTTTCCATGTAGAAACCTAGAGTATCTGTAAAGATGAACAGTCTTCTCACTTCTCTCTGGAGAGTTCAGAGAAGTGAGGATGTTGGACTAAGTGAATGACCTCAATTCTGCCAAGGTAGGAGGCCCAGGGCTTCAGAGGAGTCCGGGTGAGGACCCTGAAAGAACTGATGTTTGCACTCACCCACCAACAGGGGATCAAGAGAGAGTACCCTCCGCACCTCCCCCCTCCTGGCTCACAGCACTGAGAAGCCCAGGCATGAAGTCAGGTGTATGTGAACCCTCCTTTCCTTCTGATGGTATGGGATTAGAGAGAGCCTTTGTCTGAGAGGAGGTGCACCAGGGCAGCAGACACAGGTGTCCCAAGAGCCAAGGCAAGACCGTGAAAGAGGACGGAGAACCCCAGTGAGCCCAGGACAGAGTTCCCTAGAGGTGACTGCTGTGGGTGCCCCCCTGCCAGGGACACTGGGCTGAAATGCCCCTTCACCTCTTAAGGTATCATAGGAAGATGAAGACTGGGCTTTGGGGTATAAGCTTAGACCACACAGAGGAGGGGGCCCTGTGCCTGCCAAAAGTTGATACAATTGTCCTGAATATGAACCGAGAGGACCCCACCCTCCAGAATGGAGGGGGCTGTCCACAAGGACTAGACTGGCCCATTGCTCCTCAGCCTCAGGAGGCAGCTGGCAGGGCTGACAGGCTGAAGCCTGAGTCTCACCTTAATTATTTCACCAGAGTTTTCAGAGGACAGGGCGATCAGAACAGTAGTCCTTTGGGTTCGCAGAGCAGGGCAGGCGTGGAAACCTGCAGAGTGGGCCTTCTTAAAGGCAGAGTGTGCCTCCCTGCTATAGGTGCTCACATCCTCTCTTCCTCTCTCCTCTCTGCCCAGATCACGTGCTGTTCTACCTGCGCTCCTGCCTGTTGTCCCTGACCACAGTCACCATGCCTCGGCGTAAGAAGGGTAAGCGCCGCACCTCTGCAAAACGCCGCCAGGCTCAGCATGGCACCCAGGATCTGAGGGGTGCTCAGGTCACTGCCACCACGATGGAAGCACACACTTCTTCCTCCAGCCCTGGTCCCGGGGTTGATGCTAAGGGGAAGCCGGGTGCTAGGTCTAGTAAGCGTCTCAAGCGTCCTCGGGGGGCTCTGGCCACCACCACTGTGCCTGCACGTGTTTATCTCACAAGATCATCCAAAAGAGCCACTGGGGAAATTGGGAAAACAGATAATCCCTCTCAAGCCACTGAGGAAATTGGGAAAACAGATAATCCCTCTCAAGCCACTGAGGAAATTGGGAAAACAGATAATCCCTCTCAAGCCACTGAGGAAATTGGGAAAACAGATGATCCCTCTCAGGCCCCTCCCTCCAACGTGCGGTCTGGAAAACGCTCACTAACCAGGCCGACGTATCAGTTGGTGCAGTTCCTGTTACACATGTATAAGACGAAAAAGCCCATTAGGAAAGTGCATATGCTGAAGATCATTGATAAAAAGTACAAAAATCGATTCCTCAGGATCCTCAAAAGAGCTTCTGAGAGCATGGAGGTGTTATTTGGTATTGACGTGAAGAAAGACAACACTGCCAAGCATTCTTATGTCCTTGTCAGCAAGATGAATCTCCCCCGCAACGGGATCGTGCACCGTGGCAGGGGTTTTCCCAAGACCGGTCTCCTGATGAATATCCTGGGTGTGATCTTCATGAAGGGCAACTGCGCCACAGAGGAAGTCATCTGGAATTTTCTGGGTAAGATGAAAATCTATGCTGGGAAGAGGCACTTCTTATTTGGGGAGCCCAAGAAGCTCATCACCCAAGATTTGGTGCAGCTGAAGTATTTGGAATATCGGCAAGTGCCCGGCAGCAGTCCAGCATGCTATGAGTTCCTGTGGGGTCCAAGAGCGCATGCTGAAACGAGCAAGATGAGAGTCCTGAAGTTCCTGGCCAGAATTAACCATTTGGAACCCAGTGCCTTCCACTTTTGGTATGACGAGGCTTTGAAAGATGAGGAAGAGAGGGCGCAAGCTAGCGGATGACCCAGCGTTCCTCCAGCAGTTCCTTCCACACCTAGTGAAGTTGAGGCAAATTCTGCCCTTTGTGGCTGAGGAGAGTATTCACAGTGCTCCAAGTACTATAGGACTGGACGTCACCGAGGGTTCACAGTGTAAAATACCCCGGTGTTCCTGTTCTATATGGGGAATTGAGAATTAAATCTGTGTTTTTATGTTCTTGCTGCTTTCCAAATGTTGCTCCTAAATGAAAGCTTATTTAGCATATATGTGTACAAACTCATCAGTCACACTTAACCATTTTTTGTTGTTGTTAAGGATAAGAGTTTTTCTGTGTGTAAAGCAAATGGGGAAGCTTCCATCTTATTTAGTAAGCCAGTGAAAGATAACATGGCACTGCAATATGTTATTTCCTTGAAAATACAAAAAAGTTAAGCAGTAAAATATGTGGGATCAAGAAATAGAGGAAAAGGAAGATGGTCGGTATTTGGTTTCCTCATCCCTTGTACTCTGTGTTTTACAAAATTATAAACAACAGTATATGCCTGGTTAATTCAAAATATTGAAATAAATTCTAATAATTTCAACCTCATGCTCACAGGCTCATTTATTCCCCAAACATGAACTGAGCCTCTGCTCATAGTAGGCTCCATGCTAGTACTTGGAGAGCTGAGGAAAAGATCTAGCCACTGACCATAAAATTATAGAGTCGAGACGCAGCTGTCATATAAAGAAAATGGTGACATGACAGCAGTCAAATGTGAATTCCCTGATGCAAGGTGGTGGTGGGCCTTGGGAAAATATAAGTCCTTCAGTGGGAAGTAATTATAAGTTGAGTGTATGGTGGGCTGGATGAGGCTGTGGTAATCCTGACCAGGGACCAGGTTCTCACATGGTGGGCCCCATAGTTTAAAGACAAAGCCTGGGATGGGAAACTGCCCTTGACAGTTATAGGCACTTTGCTCTGTTGCACTTTGATTTATTGTACTTCACAGGTACTGTTTTCCTTTTCTTTGTTCTTTTTCTTTAACAAACTGAAAGTTTGTGTCAACTGTGCTTCCAGCAAGTCTTCCGGCTCCATGTTTCCAACACCATTTGCTCACTTCATGTCTGTCACATTTTGATAACTCTTGCAATGTTCACCCCCTCAGCAGCAAAAAAGATGGACTCACTGAAGGCTCAGATAATGATTAGCATTTTTTTTTTAGCAAATGGGTGTTTTTAATTAAGATATCTATATTGTTCTGAGGCATAATGCTATTGCCCACTTAATAGCCTACAGTATAATGTAAACATAAATTTTATGAAAACACTGGGAAACCAAAAATTTCTTGTGACTCAATTGTGATATGGACTTTCCTTTGGGGGTTGAGAACCAAACTTGTAGTATTTTCGGAGTCTGTCTGTGCTTTGGGATTGTGAGTAAATCAGAGAGAAATCATGTGAGACTGGCATGGAATGTACCCTGTGCTCTTGTTCCAGTACAGGTAAACACTGTGCAGATGAGATGGTTTATTCACATTGCCTTGTCTCCACGAAGTTTCTGAGAAATCAGGGTGGCACTCCCCTGAGGTGGGATGATGCCTTGAAGCCACTGGATTGCCACACTCTGCCCTCGCTGGGGGAGCCAGAGCCCACACCACTAAAAAAAAAATAATCATTCTAATCAACTTATCCTGACTGTAATTTGGCAAACAATAGGCAAGGAATAGATACTTGTGGGTAGTGAAATGAATGAAAGTGGGAGTGGTTTATAAAAAAAGGGCAAGGGAGAGATACCTAAGTTTGGGCCCCTTGAAACATTTTGGAACTTTGTGTTACATCCACTGAGGATGTCTACCTCATGGTGACCTTCAGTGACATACTCTTACCTGGGATATACTAGTTTTCCTTGTTAACCAGGATTTTGCCTGATAGGGGTTCTTTGCCCTAGACCCCTGCTTATTCTTTGACATCTCCTGGGTTGAAAAATGACCCACAGTGTAGTGGGTTGAATCTCCGGGGGACAAATTGATCACAGTAAGGACTGGCATCCTTGACAGTCTCAGGACAGGCCAGGCAATGGGCTAGGCATTTTACAGGTATTATTCTCAGTCCCCGAGACAGAACTTCTGAAACCCATGTCACCGATGAAGAGATTGAGGCTCGCAGAGTTTGGTAAGGTATTCAGTTTCACACAGTTCCTAAATGACAGAGTTGGAAGTAGACTCCTGGCCTAAATAAGTCTGATGCCCACATTTTGCCATTCCTCCTAGCTGGAGGCCAGCTTTGTGTTCCTTCATTCACCTTCTTACCGACTGGTCCAACGTGTATGTCAGGTGATAAAAAGAATTCTGTGCCCAAAACACTGGATGGAAATATGTAACCATATCAATAAGCATATCAAAATAATTGAGAAGTCTGAATAAAGCAAAGAAAGGTAATACTTAGTGACATAATCATCTGTATATCCAAAGTCACAGAACCCAAATGATCAGGGGCCCAGAAAATCATGCTGGACAGCCCCTTGCTTTTGGAAGTTTAAACTGTTCAAAGAGAAGTTCCATAAAAGGTGAAGCGTGGCTAGTAAAGAGAAGGGATAGATGAAGGTGTTTTATCCTTTGTCAGGACATCCATCCTGCCTTGCCTTACAACTTCCCTACGTCACATCACTCCTGGGATGGGAACCTGGTCTCTGAAGGGTTTTCAATAGGGAAATGGGTCGAGAGGTTGCCAGGATGTGGCCTTGCCCAGGAAGACTTTTAATAAAGAAACAGGAGCCAGGAGGAAGAGGCCCTTACAGGTGGGCTGGGGAGGGCAACATGCCCCAGGCAAAGTTCTCAGCCTGAGCAATCACTCACTTAACTTTCAGGTTCTCAGGGACTTGTGACTCCCACCTAGGAGGGTGCCCAGGTCAGCAGACCTATATCTGAGATTGGCCGGCTCAGGTCAGTAGAGAGAAATATTTCTAAGGTGTGCCAGGAGGAAGGAGGGCAGCCCTGCCAAGCCCATATCAGCAGAGACCTCACAGAATCCTCCCTGTTGCCATGGCAGATCCTTGCAAATGTCAGAAAGAGATGGCTTCATATCCTTCTCAGGGTAACAGAAAAGTGATGAGCTTGCTTTGAGGCGGAGGTCTCAGGTCAGCAGAGGGGGAACTCTTAGGCCTTCACCTGAGTCAGATTTAGGGTATAGAGTCAGCACCCCCAGTGGGATCACCATCATATGCATTCTCAACCTGCCTGATGCAGTTGTCACTCATGGCATGGCAGGTGTGGTCAAGCGATGCCACCGTCACATCCTTTTGGATTTGAGGAAGTGTTCTCAGATCCAAAAAGAGGGGAGCCTCGGGCTCTGCCAGCATGCAAATCAAGCAAACGGAATGAGGATTGAGAGGCCCACCCACTTTTGGATAGAGGGGAAGGAGGGCCTGGCCCTGCACTCAAGACTGAAATCCTGAGAGAAGGATGTGGGACTGAGCCACCACCCCAGGCCCAAAAGTTTTTTAAGTTTACTTTTTTAAAGCAGTTTTAGATTCACAGCAAAATGGAGCAGAAAGTACAGAGAGTTCCCATATGTCTTCTTCCTGGACATGTGTACAGCCTCCGCTACTGTCAATGTTCCCCAGCCGAGTGGGCTGTTTGCTACAATCTAGGAAGCTACTTTAGCAAACAAAGTCCTGACCTAGCACACTTACTTGCATTACCTTCATTCTTGGTATTGTACCCTCTGTGAGTATAGACAAATGGATGATGACTTGTATCCAGCCTTATGAGCTTCTCTGGTGGGTCAGTGGTAAAGAATCCACATGCCCATGCAGGAGACTTGGGTTCCAACCCTAGATGGGAAGATCCCCTGGAGAAGACAAAGACAACTCACCCCAGTGTTCTTGCCTGAGAAATCCCATAAACAGAGGAGCCTGGCAGGCTACAATCTGTGAGGTCACAAAGAATCGGACATGACTGAGCAACTAAACAACAGCATCCACCCCTATAAGGTCATACAGAGCAGTTTCACAACAGTAAAGCCTCTCTGTGCCCTCTTCATCCCTCCCTCCGCCCACCCCCACTCCCATACCCCCACCCAGTCCCAGGCAGCCATTGGTCTTTTTACTGTTTCTGTAGTTCTGCTTTTTTCCAGGAGTCATGTGGTTGGAATCATGCAGTGTGTAGGCTTTTCGCATTAGTTTCTTTACTTATTAATACACATCTAAGGTTCCTCCATGTCTCTTCAGGGTTTGGAAACTTATTCATTTTTAGCACTGAACAGTATTCCATTACTTATCCTGTTACCTACTAAAGGACACCATTGTTGCCTTTTAAGTTTTTGAAAATATGAGTTAAGCTGCTATAACCAACTGCATGCAGGTTTTTGTGTGGATGTAAGTTTCCAGCTCGTCTGGCTAAACACCAAGGAGCATTACAACTAGATTGTAGGGTAAGAGTATGTTTGTTGTTTAGTTGCTCAGTCATGTCCTACTCTTTGTGACGTCATGGACTATAGCCCACCAGGCTCCTCTATCCATGGGATTTCTCAGGCACAGATACTGGAGTGGGTTACCATTTCCTTTTCCAAGGAATCTTCCCAACTCAGGGGTCGAACCCATGTCTCCTGCAATGCAGATGGATTCTTTACCATTGAGCCACCTTGGAAGCCCAAGAATATGTTTAGTCTGTTAAAAAAATTATTAAAGTATGATTGACATATAATAACCTGTACATATTTAATGTATACAAATTGATGAGTTTGGAGTTAAGTCTACTGTGAAACTACCACTGCAGTTTATGCCATAAACATATCCATTACCGGCAAAATTTCCCTCTCACCCTTTTTTAAGTTTATTTTTAATTGGAGTATAGTTGTTTTACAATATTGTGT